TAGATAAAATAAATAATTCATGACGAAGATATAACTACTCCAAACACACAAGCACTTAATATTGATCAAGGAGAAACTCAGTGGTAGTGGTTGACGGCAATGCCACTGACTGAGATAGGCTATGTTAACAGAATAACATACTTGATAGGGGGAGAGATAATAGGCTTCAGATCTGTCTATATTAATATTGTCTTTAATTTATGGCTATGGATATTTATATCTGGACATGAAAACGGACTGACACAGAGGCACCACTTCAAAACTAATCAGCAAATGGATGGCTGTGAAGCCACTGACACAAGTTAATGTGAGCTGAGGTGTTTGGCTTGCAGTGCACCCTCATGTGCAGCAACATCTGAGGAACATGAGGATTGGAACTAGAGCTAGCAGAGAAGTAGAGAAAGACAGTCTAGAGAGGTATCAGGAAGATGACAGATTTGTAGAGTCTTAAGAACCAAGGGATGATACTTCAAGATCAAGCCAACAGTGCCACATGGTGTTCAGAGGACCATGAGTAGGCCTAACATGTTTTTCTTGGATTTTGTGATTTGGATGCTGTTGTTGAAATATTCAAGTTTGTATTTTTGGAGGGTGGCCAGAAGACAGACCACAATAGATTGAGTGGCAAATGGGAAGTGTACAAAAGGAATAAAATGTAGATAGCACTTTCAATCCTACAAAATTTGAAGGTTATTAAAACACTGTGCATTACTAGCTTGTACAGACACAACAAAGTGCTAAAAGAAATATGCATTGAACTGATGGGAACATGTTTTGAAAGTGTCTTCTTAGTCCTCTAATTCTACATCAAAACTCAATTTGACCGAACTCTTGCTTATTTTTCTGATGTTAGTACTTGAGAAAGAATTCATACACTTTTTCTCCCTACCAAAGGATTTTCACTTATTATTTAAAAGTTTAAACAATATGGGCATTTCAGAAAATTTGGGGGCTGTCACTCAGGGTGACTTTTTGTTGGAAGAGCCTGTTTCATCACATCGTGAACAGGCACTATTTAAGTAAGGCAGAAATGGTGAATTGTTGCAAAGCCTGCATGCTGCCACTCCTAATATTACTTCACTACAGACATGCCATCAATTTTGGTACATCATTCTTTTGTTATAGAAGTCCAGGAAGATGAAACAAAAACCTACTTCTGAACTTGGCATGGTGTGCAGACCTTGGATGAATACACTCAAGTCCAGAATATTATGCAATTCCTGGAGGCACCATTTACATACAGTTTACATACCATTGGTGAAATGCTAGCCATTGTATTTGCATAATATTGTGGTCCTATTACTGTGCCGTCTGCCAGCTTTCCCTGTATGCTTTCTTCCTTCTCACATTAAGAATGCAGTGATATGGTTATTTACATTAGAAGTAAAAATACATATAACATTTTACATTGTCTTTTAATCTGCCCCATTTCTTACTATTTTTATTTTTACCTTATTACAGTAAATTACATGAGTATTTTACTGATGTAAAATATTCATTTATTAACCATGGTGTGAGCAAAAGTCAAATGTGCTATATTGGATCCTTGCACATAACTTTTGATATGATTTCACTCACCTCAGTTTGACAACATGTGTTCTGATGAACTGACTTCTTAAATTTGATTCTCGGAATGCATTAGTAATCTGTAGAAAGAAAGGGGGGAGAACAACTTCTCTGTAACTGTATTTCTTCTATTCCCTTTCCCCCAATTTTGCAACATGGGGTTTATGATAATGAGACATAGAAATCTAAGTTTTGCGGGGCTGGAGAGATGGTTCAGTGGTTAAGTGCACTGGCTTCTCTTGCAGAGGACCTGTGTTTGATTTCCAGCACCCACATGATGGCTAACAACCAAATGTAACTCCAGGTCCAGGGGATTCGACACCCTCTTCTGACCTCCATGGGCATTGCATGACAACAGTGCTTTTACCTACATGCAGGCAATACACCCATATACATAGTATAAAGTAAAATATAAAATATTTTTAAAAAATTAAATCTAAGTTTTCAGCTAGGTCAGGGCAGTTTTCTCACAGACAGCATGGGACCAATTTAGGCAGGTTGCATAACCTTTTTTAACATGGTTTCTATTTTCCCACCTGCTAAGCAGATCCTGGAAAGGGTGTATCTTTAATAGAAATCATTCTAACTACATCAGATGTTTTATGCCATGAGACCTTATGATATGACTTGATGGCTGTTAATGAGGTGGTTATGGCAAGAGCCAAGTCAACATTAAGAAAATCCACTCACAGCTCATGGTGTGTAGCACCCAATAACTATGTTTTAAATGGATGAAATCAGATGAAAGCTGATTAGAATGAGCGGAGTGATGGAAAATTTGAAGTGAAACAGAAAAAGAAGCAAAAGGCAATCTATTCCTTGTCATTTCTGATTCACGACTAAGCACCAGACTATTTTTTAGCATTTGTTGATAATTTCTTGACCTAACAACCTTAGCTATTTTACTGAATCATTGCTCAGCTCCAGTAAGGATGGTTATTTGGGTATATAAAGTTCAGTTTCACAGTTAACGAGGAGTGCCTCTGTGAGTGTCATAGCTCTGTGATGCAGGGCCAGATAAACTGTGGTTTCATAATAGATAGTGGATTGTTTTCACTTATACTATGAAATGGTGTCCAGGTGGGTGTGGGCATGAGAGAGTGGAAATGAGAAATAAGCAGCATGGTGTATATTACATTTTGTCAGGACCTGAAACCAGAATTTCTTTAGACTATAAAGTTTATCTAATTTCTGTTATACTGTATTTTTCTTTTTGATATCAATTCACATTAGATGCTTAATATCAGACTAAGCATTGTAGAAAAAAAATTTTGTTAAATGTTTTTAATAAATTGAAATTACTGGCCTTATTAAAATAATTCATGTTTTCATATCTTTTTGGTCTTTTTGAGACAGAGTCTCCCTGTAGTCCTAGATGGCCTGGAACTCATATAGACCAGACTGGCCTTGAACTCACAAAGATCTGCCTGCCTCTGTCTACCGAGTGTTGGGATTAAAGATCTGGGCCACCATGCCTGGCCTTTCATGTTACTGTTTAAAAAATAAATACAGTAAATATAAGGACGAAAAGTAAAAATTACTAAATTGTACAGTCTAAAATGAGCTATTTCTGTCATTTGTTGATCTATATTCCAGTTATCTATGTAAAAAGACATGGTTTAGTATGTTTACTAAGTGCTGGGGATATAGCCCAATGGTTGAGCTCTAGGTTCAATTCTCGGCACCTCCCAAAGGAAATGCTAATACTATTGTATGCTATGGGAGGTACTTTAAAAAAGATTAACTAATTTTACTTGACATAAATAGATTAAAAAGGAATTGAAATAAAGTTGAGTTATCTGCTAAAATTTATAAATTTATTTGGTGTATTTTATTTATAATTAGACATTGTGCTGGCAAATCTACAATGTTAAAGATGCAATTAAATTTAGGCATGTACATTATGTGGAAGACATTAGAAGGGAATTTAATGATGACTTAAAAAAACAATATGCAGAAAAAAGTTGGTTGATATGGATGTACATATATTAAAAAAGAGGTCTGTTCCTGTTAGCAACATACTCTGTTCTAAAGGCCAAAAATGTCAAAAGTATTTGGGAGCTTGCATCTAATCCTTAAAAGATTTTAGGGTTACCTCTTCAGAGAGGGGAATGTTGGAGGGGAGGGAGTGGGCATAGATTTGATCAAAACATCTTATATACATATATGAAATTCTCAATAAAGGTTTTGTAAAAGTTTAAAAAAAGAGGCCCATTGATGGTATTCCATATTTCACAGAGTAGGTAGAAATGTTGCCATTTAACTCTCTTTTTAGAACTTTTCAAATGATTATTAGAAAACCAATGAGTAGTTTACTATAGCATATACCAGCAGAATAGTGGGAAGGACAGCTGACCAAACAGAGATAAATTTTCTGTTTGTTATGAAAATGTCCATGAAATATATCACCTTTTTTCCTTAAGTTTCTAGATCTCTTAAAGAAATGCATTTAAGTATACCAAAAGCTGGGCATGGTATTGCTCACCTTTAATCCCACCACTCAGGAAGCAGAGGCAGGCAAATCTCTGTGAGACCAAGGGCAGCCTGGTCTACGTAGTGAGTTCTAGGTCAAATAGGACTACAAGCAGATCCTATGTCAACCTTCCCCCCAAAGTATACCAGAATAGTATATCTGTACATGGTTGATGAGGGCAACTCACCATGGCCCAACTTCTATTTTTTAAATGATAGTATTTTCAAAATTAAAATATTACTCAAATTACTCAATAGAATATATAATTTGATAATCTATGATAAATGGTCCCAATGTTTGATTCTAAGCTTTATTTCAATACTGGATTTTAAATGCTGAAAGAGTTTCCATGTGGCTTCAAATTCATGAAGTTTATCATTGATTAAGAAATTAAGTAATCAGTTTTACCCATCATGCAAAGATTTTGTTGAACTTCATCAAAAGTCATTCTGTTTTCTAATGTCAATTGGTTATCCTTACAAACAAAATAAATGGTGTTGTACTTTATATTATCTTTTAAGAAATGTGTTCAAAATATACCAAATGTGATAGTTAATCCTTTGCCTCATATTTTATATGTTTATGCCTGTATCTTTAAGATATCTTTTTATTATTATTAGTTATGTGTATGTGTCTGTGTCTGTGTGGGTCTATGTGCATGTGAATGCAGTTCCTGTGGAGGACCGAGGTGCTGCCTCCTGAGTGCTGGGACTAAAGGCATGCGCCACCACTCTGGCTCACCTGAAACTTTTATAGATAATGTATTTTGCATCATTTTTAGTAAAACTAAACAATAGAATACCAACTCATGCAATGACGAATGCATTACTAAATGTATTGTCGAAGATTTATCTCCATAGCATAAGCTTTATTTCAAAACAGATTAGTTAATTACTCTTATACCTTGCAGGGACAGGTATTGTTTATCCATATGAGTGTATTTATGTAGCATGCATTTTGTTCTAAAAGCCATTTTAAATGACTGGGATTGCTTTCCCTGGTTGTGTTGCTATATTGGGAACAGGAGAGGTGCCTGTTTTCATATCATCTTCCTGTTCATTTACTTATTACTATGCTTGTTATTAGGATTATCTTCAAATTGCAGGCTTTAAAATTTGTTTTGTGGAATTTCTCTCAGAACCAGTATTGATTTGGGAAGGTTTAGTGTACTTGTAGACTTAGACAATATAATTTTATTTTATTTTTGGCTTTTTTGATACAGGGTCTCCCTATAGTCCCATCTGTTCTGGAACTCACTATGCAGCACAGGCTGGCCTCAAACTCACAGAGATTTGCCTGCCTCTGCCTCCCAAGTACTGAGACTAAAGGCATATTCTACCACACCTGGCCAATGTGAAATTTTAATCCTACTGCAACTATCATTGAAATCTTCAGGGACCAGGTAAAGTTGTGCCAAAGCTTAATCATTCCCATGATGTTATCACCTCCCCTCCCTCAGCATTTTAACCGACAGAAACAAACAAAGGTGCCAATCTCATTCATTTTTTGTATGGTAAGAAAGCTGAGTTTCTTCCTTCTTTTCTGTTACTTAAAGAAAAGTTTGTTTAAAAATGTTTTTTATTGAGATTTTTGTGGTTTCATACAACAGCTCTTAATTAAACTTAGGTATGGAGCGCTTCCCTCTATCACATCAAAGTCGATTATCCCTAGAACACACAATTCGGTTCAGGGGCTGTTATGAGATCCACCTTGATAGGGACCATGTCTTTACTATATATTTTCAAGGTCTAGCTCAGGAACAAAGAGAATGCATAATTTATTCATGCTTTTATTAAATGCTTGAATTCCTAATATGTGCTAAGTTCTATTTTTGGTAGTCAGGAATAGTCAATACTTATTAAATTGATATGTTTGAAATGAATTTTCCCTCTAAGAAGTGATGGTATTAGTGATATAAGATTAATTTCAACTTACTTATTTTCTGTCTTCTCATATCCTTGTTTTGTTTTTTTTTAATTTTAAATTTTTTATTTTCTCAAGAATTAATGTTAATGCACCAAATGTTTATTAAAGACAAATTGTATACAAGCCTTAGCGCTAGACTCATGGGATACATAACTTTACAAAAGAGAAAAATGATGTTTATCTAAAGCTTTATGTTACAGCACCTCAATCAGGCAACCTCAGCTAAAGGTCTCTGGTATAAGCTCAGCTTTTCAAACTGTAGGTTTGTGACTCCATATGGGATTATGTAACTGAAAATGGGGATGAAAATTTGGCAGCAATAATACATTTGTGAGCATGAAACAAAGATCAATTCAAAATTAAGTGTGTAATGAATCCAAGGTGTTTCTGGCAGTGAGTGACTGTGCTGCTTTGTATGACTTCACTGTAACCTTGGTTCTAAATGCAACATGTACACTTTGCACTGCGCATGCCATCACACCACCCATGGCCAACAAAGTCTGCCTAAAATGCCTTGGCTCAGACTCAAGACTACTGTGTTATAAATTGCATTATAGAAATGTACAGTCTTCTGTTCTTCTAGAAACATATTGGTTTAGTTATGGAAAACAAAGACTTTTTATACTGTCCTGCTGCCATTCCTCAGCACATATCAGATTAATATATATTTGGGTTGTATTG